CTCATTGCCTTTGATTCCTTTTGGTCTCCAAGATTCTCATCGTCCACATTCCCTTCTGCCCCTCCACTTGAGCAATCCGCTTAATTCTCCCCCAAAATTTTCAGTCAGACTTTTCAGCTTCTTAGAGTCGATCCGCTGATATGCAAGTCACGTGAAGAAAGAAATGAACCGATGTAAAGACGCAGAAAACTAATGCTATCTATACGCCTTTTTCGATATCTTCTCAGTCTCCGTAGGCATTGAACGTGAACGCAGCTGAGATAGTGAAAATCATGATTGGTCATTGGAAATAATAGTAGTAAATCTTTGAAGCTTTGTAAGCCGAACTCTGCTTAAGTTAGAGCGCGGTACAGTTGACGTTTGAAAAAAAATATCAAAGTTCTGCGTTTCGCATACGATTTTTTCCCATTTTTTATATCGTTTATAATTGCTTCGCACTCAAGTAACTTTCTGATTTACATTCTATGATTTACTGCATTGTTATTTATTGGACATTTCTAATATGGCTGGTATCTAGTAGTGAAGCGTTTTAGTATGGCATGTCATTTTTGCGGAAATCGATCTACGGGAGTCGAAAGTACTTTTTCTTTCGAAATACCTTATTTGTTATACTCCCCAATATTATAAGAAATGCTATGTACTTAGAAATTGGAAAATCCTAGCAGCAGAATTGGACGTTTTCGATAGCAGCTATTTCTTAATTTTCATAAAAAAAACCTGCAGAAGTCGAAGTTTATCCGAGTCCGTCGCACTCATGAATTTTCTTCTATCCCTTCCTTTCTTTCCGCTCATTCCGACCATATTCATATCGGATGTAAATATTGAGTAATGAAGGCTTCGGAAACGGGGCCATTATTTTTTGTGGTTCCAAACTTTCTTTTGCTTTTCTTGTTTTTCTTTTTTTCGGTGAGTTCTTTCAAAATGGATGATGAAAAGCATAATAAAAGCGAAAAGAACAACACTGATTAGTTTCGATTTTTTATATCGTTTCATGTTGTTTCAAACGTGTGTGTCGAATGCCATTCCTTTGATATTGCGTACCAACCTAACAAATTCGTCCAGACCATACTATTCCCTAACTTGCTCGTGTCTCATACTTTCATTCTTTGGGGTTCATTTTGATTTTTACAAGTGATGATCTAGGACACCACAGTTTTCATCATAAAAGCGTAGTGATCTGCATCTTCCAGAATGAGCATCACGTCGATAAAATCTTGCTAAACGACCCATCTTCAGAACTTTCACGATCCTTTGCTGCGGTCCTACACTTCTCCAGGTCCTGGTGCCATCACTTTCCTTCAGTACCCACGAAACTTGACCTGATTAGGAGAACATTCGTTGACAGGAAAGCGGTGGGAGGGCGAAGGTATGAATATTGCGATCAAACCTTAACATTTTAAGAAAATTCAAAATTTTATTACTTGTTAGGGGCGGAAGTGGTGTAGTGACAAGTGGCGCGCTTACCACGCGAGCGGTCCGGGGATCAAATCCTGGGTCGTGAGTCGCCCGGGCCAACCAAGCCTTCCATCCCTCCGGGGTCGGTTAATTGGTACCAGACTTGTCTGGGAGGATAAAAACACTGACTTGTACATCGGCTGGCCCCCGCAAGTCATTGTATAGGCCACATCGCATTCAAACGCCACTACGAATGTACAAATGGAAGTAGAATGCGTGCCGCATCCCAAAAAGGGATTGATCAACGGCAAATGCTTTATCCTTTATCCTTTACCTGTTAGCTTCCCAAGGATCTCTACACCCTTATTATGAGGTTGTTCGGAGAGTTATGCGAGTTTCGAGATGCCTTGCATACTTGGAATATTTTTATACTGAAACTTCCTTTGAGACCTGAAGCCCTATGCATTTCATTGGCAAGCGTACTCTATTCCAGTAAATTTGAGTTTCAGTTTTACTTGTCATATTGGGGCTTTTATAGAGTTGAAGTGAAGGTGTCAATACGGTGGTTTGGGCAAGTTTTCTTCGATGTGCTGAAACTCTGACGTAGTGCTCCTTAGACCTGTCGAAGTAACATTGGAAGATGGGGCCGAAGAAGCACCTCCAGAAGCGCAGCACAGCCTTGGCTCCAAAGTTTTGGTTCAGAAGAATTCCATAGTGAAGTTGAGGGGAGTCATGAGCATGCTTTGCTGTTGAGGACGGCCTTCTGAAGATTCCCGTAGAAGATGATTCCAGTCTAACTGTGCTATAGCAAGCAGTAGGACAGAAGTAGGTATATTGAAAATATTGTGGCTCCTGAAGATAATTGAGAGGTGAAAAAGCTGAACAGGTGCTTCCGCATGGGCTGACTGAAGCAGCACCAGTACCGCCTTCCCAAAGGATCGTTTCCACCCGTTTTACTTCCATTGTCATCTACGACGGAAAATGGACTCTTACGATTACAGAAAGCCATCTCTCTAATAGTTTGACCGCGATGAATCTTCAAAAACTTCTCCAAAGCCGAAATTATAGAAGATTAAAGTTGAGCTCAACATTCGGCAGTCTTCCACGGGGCTGATCCAACCCAGCTCTTGGAAACCAGGTGATTTAACACAACACCAATGTCTCTCCAGCATACCGATGAGATGCTCTAGAAACATCAAGTTCGTCAACCGAGAGAAGTGAACAAAGCCTCCTTCATGGTGGCGCTCAGCCACATGTCCCATAAACGACCTCGCAAGTATTGAACAAACTGGCGTACGAAGCTTCGATCCACACGTCTTACTCATGGACCTCTCCCTCACCAATACCCCTTTTCCAACCATCTCGACAACTTCTTGAGTAAGAAATGCTTCAATGTTCAAACTGATGTGAAAATGATGCTCGACGATATCATCGCCTAGTAAGCGCTGATTTAATGTGGGAAGGACATTTTAGCACGAATCTTTTAAGAAAGATTAGTGTTTTCCAACATTTTTTCTTACGACATAATTTCTTGACTTGAATGTAAATATGCTCTTTGAAAATAGAGGCCAAAAACCCACATCACTCTTCGAACAACCTAATAGGTTTCAACACCTTTCGAAAAATAAATACATCGCCACAAGCCCAAATATAGCCTCTCTCCCCAGAAGAGCAAAATACACACGAAGAAACCCATTCATTGACGCTGGCTCATCCTTGCACGTCTGGTGTGCTGTTCGACCTCACCCATGCAACCTTTCCTCTACTGTTTTCTTGATATTAATCTTACTATAGATTTGGACATTAGTTAGGCGCAAAGGCTATTATTTGTCTAGTCGAGATTGAAAGAAAATTCTCTACCTCTACAAGCTCATGTGCTATTATACCAGATTGCCCCCCCCCCCCCCAACCAACAGGGAGGGAAGGGCCCGGCGGTCAACCGCCGGGCCCTTCCCTCCCTGCTTCCGCTGTTGTCCCTTCCACCTGTGACACCAACACCTCGTGGAAGTGACGCGTATGCAACACAATGGTGTTTCATACAGTAGAAGGGACACAATCATGATATGACGGTAGATTTTTCGCTTCCCTTCCTCATCCTCCCTTCCTCTCTCCACTGCCCTCCAGCTGCCACTGCAGCACCATGTGGAATGAACGGAAGTGTGCTAAGCAGGTGTTTATATAGCCCTAGGAGTGTTATCACAATTATCCTATTACAAAACATTGATAGCTCAAGCCCTGCGAGCTACCCGATTCTGTAAGCGGTTAATTAGGCTTGTTGTTTGTTAATGCTTAAACTGAATCCCACATTTTTTCGGACTTTTGGCTTTACGAGGATTGATTGGTTACTTCTTTGCAATCTTTCAGAATTTGTAGAGGAGAGGCGAGGACTCCCAGGCAAGAATGATCCAATTCCACTGGAGGTCCATTGAATTAGCAAATATTCAACTAACATTATCCGGTTCTGTATGACTAAATTAGCGCTCCACTTTTCTATTCAACCACAATTACGATTTGATCCTTACTCGAACCAAATCTACATAGAAAGAAATCGATCAGAGCTATTATCTCTGCAGTGATCATGTTCCGAACAATCATTTTTTTTCGAATTGCATTTCATTAAATAAACAAAAGTCGCATGTCCTGCTCACCACTGTTGAGATTTGCTGGGGGCGTTAGAAGAGTGCATTTCCATAGGCATCCCACTTTGAAGCTGAAATCGCTTTTTATCACGAACCTTCCTATACCTCATCGCAGTCGGACGTGCAGCAATACGTGGATGATCCTGTACTGCTTCGAAGCTTTCAACATTACTACATTCGTGAATGTCAAGTGTTCGGGCGCCAAGATGAAAAACTGTGATCTTAGCTCATTAGCACAACTAGTTTTGACGTTATGGTCGTTTTCTGTGCTTTCTGATTGTCGCATGTGAAGTTTTTGGATTATAGGATGACATATTCATTTATCTTTATCGCACGTACTATATCTTTTATCAAGTTCTTTACAGGTTCGTAGCACTTCGTCAGTTCAAAAATGCCGTCTAGATTACCAGAAAAAGATGGTGAGTCAAATACAGTATTATTTGGATTTGTGGTTATCAAAACTTTCATTTGACATCGTACCTTACCCTAGTCCTTGCTGTAGGCCTGTTGAGGTGTTCATGCTCAGAAAAAGTTAGTAAAAAAATAACACATAGAGGGTTAGCTGTTGGCTTCATAGAATGGCTCACCTGCGGCGCGGATGCGAGCGCATGCGGTTGACGTCACTGACGTCACAGCGGCAGCGATGGGATTGAGCAAGGGTGGTGCCAGTACTTTATAACATTGCATATAGGACACTATTGACCTGACTTTACTACGCAGTGAGTTGAGTACTAACGAGATTGAATTTATTGAATTAGAATTAATGAACACTCGTCAGGGTTTGCACACGAAACTAATGATTTCCTCCTTACTCGCAAAAAAATTCCTAATTTTCGAGGGCAAAAATTGTACCTATACACTATACAATAACTTTGCGCACGGCACTACTGACTGCACTAGTTAACACATTCACGACGACGCCCCTTTTCCACTTTTCGGTCGCGTGGGACGGACGCGATTTTGTGGGCGCCGCCGCCTCACCACATAACCGCAGATTTTGTTTTGTAAATGAACAAAAACATGAATGTCACAAAATAATTTCTGCAATGTCCAATGCGTAAAGATTATCTAAACATATAACAGTAGGATTTCGATCAGAACGACAAATAGTGGTTACGAAAAGAGAGCATTTATTCACTTTCCCCGTGAAGGAATTTAAAAGCATTTTACACTCGATTACGAGGTTTGCCCACCTATCTGTCCATTCCTAGCGCCTGGCAAGCGATTATCAGTTGGCAGCCCATATGGGCGGCCATCGGCGTGAATGTGTTAATGAGGTGACTGATCCCCTTCCACTATTCAAGCGAAGTGGCAGCGACGCTTTGAGTCTTCTCGTCACTGTTGCGCTGCCGTGACGTCAGCTGCGCTCGCGTCCGCGCCGCCTGTGAGCTTTTTTCTCCCTCAGGCTGGGGACCATAACACTCTGTATCACCTGTATCACCTGTCGTCCCGTTGATCATCGATTTGCTCGAGCGGGCGCCAGCAACGTCTCCATTCGTCCCTGTCGCGTGCAAGAGTTGTCCAGTGGATCCTCCTCGCTCGAGGGACACGAAGTCCTTCATTCCTTTCGTTCAGAGCTTTCGTGAAGAAGTCTGACCATCGGGCCGGCGGTCGTCCAGGTGTTCGTTTGACGTCCCGAGGGATCCAGTCGGTAACCGCTCTGGTCCAACGGTCATCGCAAAATCGCATGACGTGTCCGGCCCACCTTATCTTCGATTCCTTGGCGAAAACGGCAGCGTCCCTGATCTTCGATCGTTGGCGTAGTTCGGAACTCCGGATTCCCCTCTGCACTTGCGTGTATAGGGTTACTCCTAGCATCGTCCTCTCGACAGCGCGTTGGATAACGCTGACCGCATGCTCGTCCTGCCTGCGCAGAGTCCAAGTCTCTGAGGCGTAGGTTAGGGCAGGAAGGACAGCGGAATCGAAGAGGTGGGCACGGAGC